GCACCGATCGTTCCCTCTCTTCTCTTGGGCGGCGGTAGCCATGACAACCGAGGTGGATCCTCTCGATTCACTTCCTTCTGGCGTTAAAATCCTTCTCAGGCATCTTCATGCCCTGATTCCCGAAAAATTATCAGACATAAATTACCCTACATGGAAAATCACCGTTCTTACAGCCCTTGAGGCCAATTACCTTCTCAAATACGTCGATGGAAGCACAGAACCGCCGCCGGCAGTCATCACCGCCACGGACAAATCAGAAAAAACTAATCCGGCCCATGCCGCCTGGAAAGCCGTGGATGGCCAGATCCGATCATATTTGATTGAGGTCATCTCTCCCACGGTTCAGAAACACGTCCGATCCTACACAACTGCTTCAGCCCTGTGGACGGCCCTCGCAACACGCTATGCATCAATTTCCCACTCTCATATTTTTCAATTGCGTGATCGTCTCCACACAATTACCAAAGGCACGAAAACTATGGCAGAATATTTAGACAAGGTCTCCACCATCATCACAGCCCTCGACACCGTGAATGAAATCATTCTCGAAAAGGATCTCATCATGTGCGTCGTTCGGGGGCTCCCATCAGTTTACTCCTCCATTAAACAGGCGGTTCGCATCAGTCCAACGCCCGTTGACCTGGCTACTCTCTCCTCGTGGCTAAAAAGTGAAGATATTAACGTGGATCTGGAGAGCAAACTTCTTCTCCGAGAAGCCGCTGTTATGGAGCCGGCCACCGCCCTCACCGCAAGCCAGAACTATCGCGGGAGGCGTGATGGCAGTCGGCAGGGGAGCCGCGGCGGCTACGGCAGAAACAGCGGAGGCCGCGGGCGCGGTGGCCGGCAGGGCAGTTGTCTGCCATACGACGGTCAGCAGCACGGCAGCAACAACAGCCTGCACTCCTTCGACAGCGGCGGACAGTCATCTTCCAGCGGCGGGCAGGGCACTTACGAGCGGGATCGTCCAACTTGTCAAATCTGTCAGAAAACAGGACACACCGCTGTTCGTTGCTGGTTTCGGTATGAGGAGAGCCGAAATAGTGATAACCGTGCCAATTATGCATCTCAAGCCGGCCCTTCCTCTGAATGGGTGTTGGATATTGGGGCCAACATGCACGTTACTTCTGATCTATCCAAGCTTAACGCTCCAAATCCATATCATGGCTCCAATGGTATTACTGTTGGCAACAGTGAGTCCCTTAATATTTCTCACACTGGCACGGGTACTATTAAAACCCCCACCGCTATCTTTCACCTAGGTAACCTTACCCACGTCCCTTCTATTAAAACCAATCTCCTTACAGTTCACCAATTTACAAAAGACAATAATTGCTCACTCTTGTTCACCTCTAATGATTTTCAGATCCTAGACAATACTACCAAGAGGGTGATTTTTCAGGGCCCCTGTGAGCATGGTATGTACGTTCTTCCTGGCACAAGTTCGTCTGCCCACCCAGTTTCAGAAAGCGTTCCTGTGGCTCCGGTGGCTCTTTCGGCCGATGGCCACAGTCTGTTGTAGCACAGTCGTCTGGGTCACCCGTCTACTCAAATAATAAATTCTTTAATGTCTAAATTAGATTTTTCTTCTATTCATGTAAATAATTGTGACTCTTGTTCAATTGCTAAATCTCATAAATTACCTTTTACTTTATCTGAGAAGCGTACAACTGCACCTTTTCAACTTATTCATTCTGACCTATGGGGTCCTACTGCTGTTCCTTCATTTGCTGGTTTTCGCTATTATATTTGTTTTGTGGATGATTTTACAAAATACACTTGGTTGTACCCACTAAAACACAAATCACAGGCATACACCACACTTGTCACCTTTGAAAAAATGGTCAAAACACAATTCAATTCTCATGTTAAACTTTTTCGAAGTGACAATGGAAAGGAATATGTAAATAACATCTTTGGCCAGTTTCTGCAATCCCTGGGAATTATACATCAAACCTCCTGTCCATACACTCCCGAACATAATGGGGTGGCTGAGCGTAAGCATCACCATCTCATTGAAACAGTGGTTACTCTTCTACATAAATCTCATCTCCCTGTCTCCTTTTGGGTAGAAGCTCTATCCACCGCAAACTACCTCATTAACAGAATGCCCAGTCACACCCTCTCCAACAAATCACCCTATCAACTTCTTTACCAAGAACTTCCCAATTATACCAACCTCCGCGTCTTTGGGTGTCTTGCCTACCCTTGGCTACGCCCTCATATTACTCACAAATTACAACCTCGATCCCGTCCTTGTATTTTTTTGGTTTATCATCCTACCTCCTTCCTATATCTCCTATATATATCTCTCATGTATTCCCTTATTAGGTTAACACTTCAATACAATCAATATTCCTTCAAAAGTGAAGGTAAAAGTGTTGTATATGTGACTCTGAGATGAAAATAGTTTGCGGTGGCCAAATCATTAAATAAAGAAGATCATTAGGATGTGTACCTTAGATAGTACATAGTTTTATGAAGCTCTAACTTTACGAATTTCTACGTGTGCCTAGTTAGTATCATTTATCTATAGTGTTTAGCAGGCGTATCTAAGCATTATCTAGTACCCTTATGAGTTGAGTCGATGGGGTTATATTTTAAAGATTACGAGTTTCTCAATATAGTTCAAGTGCGTTGAGGTAGGAAGGGGTGAATGTTCAATTCTTCGCTTCAAATTTATCAAAATAAAGTTTGATTATTCACATCATCATCAACCAATATCATCCATCATAATTATTATCCGTCACTACCACCACCAACTATTAATTACTATCATGAACCACCACCGTCGTGATAGCTATCTCTCACAATCACCATCATCTTTAATGAACAACACAACACCAACCCCATTGACACTCGACCCAATATCGTTGTACATCACTATCACTAACTATTAGATAATTATTTTTAAATTTCATTAATATAATATTAGATCACTATGCTTTTAATTTTTAAAAAATTTTGATTAATTTTTAAATATAAATAAAACTTATATATTCACATTTTGAAAAAAAATAAATAGTATTTAGATTTATGGAAAAATGTCTGAAATATATCGGAACTTTGACTGAAATTGTTATAACAATGCCAAACTTTGAAAATGACCTTTCACCCATGCACTATTTAATAGTGTATTTTAAAGGTAAATATGTGCTCACGTAGACATCATAAATATTGCATAATTATAAATATTAATATGTCCACGTGGGCACGTACATACCTTTAAAATAATTATTAAATAGTGTAAGGGGTAAAAGATTCTCCATAGAATTTAGTATCGTAACATCAATTTCGACCAAAATTAAAATATTTTTCGGATATTTTTCCCTTAGATTTAAATAAAAAAAATTTAAATATATATTTAAAACAAACATTTTAAAGTTAATAAATAAACAAACAAATAAGACCTTAATGCTATAAGCTACTTAAGACTTGTAAGGAACACGTTTTTCTCTTCCCTAGTGGAAAAAGCCTAACATAGGCGATGGGAAATATAAAAAGCATTTAATTATTATAAGGAAATATATAGACAAAAAGTCTTTTATTCAACAACCACCTAATATGCCTAGTATCAAATCAAACATATATATAAAAGAGAAACCACAAATATGTACTCTGTCTAGTGGTGTGACATTTCCTCTCATATATATGTGGAGATCATTCTTTAGGCGTGACAACTTTTCCACTCTTTTTTGTTCTCTACTACTTTGGAGCTTTCTGCTTTGTAAAGCTGGAATCTAAAATCTTTCTGACTATACCTAAGAAGACGATGAAATATTATGATTTATTTGTAGAAAATGTACCACATGATTGGTTGTGGTGCAATAGTGTGATTATTTTATTTTTAATTAGATTTACAGGTTAAAATTCTAAATATGAAAACAAATCATGTTGAGTATCCTCGTATGAGCCCCACAAAGAGCGATTGAAATTTAATGAATTTTCAATATAAACTCCGAATACTAAGCAAGAAAATAAAAAGAGATACGTAATCTTCATTGATGATTTGCTATAAATTTAATTGAAATATAAAAAGAAAAAAGAATATTCAAATAGAATATGCTTAACTTAATCTTCACTACTGATTTGTTATAAATTTAATGGAAACATAAAAAAAAAAAATCTTTTAAATTAAAATTTTGTTTGGACATTCATTTTTTTTTTTAAAAAAATCAATATTTCGCAAGTATCACCCAAAAATAAAAGTTGAAAAAATGTTGAAGATAAATTTTCAAAATACACATTTTTTTTTATATATTAACAAACAATGTTTTCAATTTCTTTTTTATAATCAATTCTCAAAATCTTGGGGAGCTTAATGATTTGTAGATCAATGGAATTCCAAAATGGTAATAATACAATTCAAATCGTTATAATTCGAATAATGAATGTTAAATATATATATATATATATATATATATATATATATATATATATTGTGTTATAACCGTCACTCCTTATAGTAATATTTTACTATAAGATTTTTTTCTTTAAAATCCATTTTTCATATTATATTTTACTTCTACACAATAATATTATACATATAGAAATAATTCCATTTGTTATATCAATACATTTTTATAAAATTATTCTTCATAACAATCAAATTCAAATATTATGTAATAATGTAGTGTTAAAAAATATTACGTAAAACTACATAAATAATAAAGTGTTTAAATAACACTTATTAATAAATTTTAAATATAAATATCTAAAAAGATAAAAGTATGTTTAAATAATTTCCATAAAATGGGTGAAATATATTTGCTTTTATTTCTTAAAAAGAAAGGATAGGAGTTTTTGTGTACAATACAATGGATCCTAAATCATAGCCACCCAATTATATTTCTGTGTCGATACAGCATATTTAGTGATGTCATCACATACGCCCATTATATTCGCGTAAGACCAAATCTTTTAAAGGAAACTTCAAATGTTACAAATTAGCCCCCCAAAAAAATATTATTTAATACACCTAATATTTACATAGTCCAAATTCAAATTCCTAAAACTTGTCAACCAAGCTTAGGAGTATCCCTTAGAATTCTCCTATAAATTCGCCTTTTTTCTGTAAATTTTACTCATATATTCTCTACAGCCTTTTCCTTTTTCTTAAATTTACAAAAGATTTTACTTCTTCAATTACCTGCAAAACACACCGGAAAAATGTGTCCCACCGGAAGTGTTTTGCATTCTGCCGCCGGCGCCGGAAAACCAAATCTGCGGTCAGCATTCGACGTTTTGGACGTTGACCGCGATGGAAAGATTAGCAGAGAAGATCTACGAACATCGTACGGTGGATTCGTCGGCGACGATATGATTGGTACGATGATGACGGTGGCGGATTCGAACGAAGATGGATACGTTGAATTTGAGGATTTCGAGAAGGTTTTGGATAGTTCTATTAGCAGAAACAGCGAGGAGAAGAGGAAAAACGGAGCATTACGAGGAGAAATGAATGTAATGGAGGATGTCTTCAAGGTGATTGACAAAGATGGAGATGGTAAAGTTGGGGTTGAGGATTTGAAAAGTTATTTGAGTTGGGCTGGGCTTCAAGTTGATGATGATGATATCAAAGCTATGATTAAATTGGGCCATGGTGAAGAAAATGGTGGTGTTACCTATCAAGGTTTTCTTCAAATTTTGTCTCTTTAATTAATTTCATGATGATGATGATGATGATCAATGTTAAATTAGGTTGAACAAGTATTTTTGTAATTTTCAATTTTTTTCAAGTGCTTCCCATGTTGTTTAAGGAAAAAAAGACGTTCTATTCCCATCATTTTTATTTACAACTTTTTATGATTTTATTTGTTTTGTTTTAATCTCAAATAGAAGTATGTCTTTCCAAAAACAATTGAATCTAATATTAATTAATATTATCCAATTGGAAAAAGATTATGTTGACAATCGTAATTTCCTGCCTTAAGTAGCCTTTATTTTTAAAAAATTAAAATTGGGCATGGCCCATTTATTAAAAATGAAATCTTGCTTTTAAAAATGTATATCGACTCTTGAAACTACCGTTACACTATTTGCCATTAATCTTATTGTCATTAATCCTCTGTATCCGTCAGAGGCTTTGACCTCATGTCGAAAATTTTATATTAGATTTTATTTAGAATTTAGGCAATATATTTACATTGAGTGAAATATTTTTAAAAATTATATGTTAACATATTTTAAATTTTAGTGAATTCATTATAAATATTCGTTAAAAAATATTTTCTATAAGATTTTCTACATGTTTTTGTTTCCATCCTAGGTTAAGGTTGCAGATGAGGGCATTTTTTAAAAAAATATTTGATTTGAATGAGGGAATATGTAACTCTTTATGTCTATGTATATTTTAAGCCACAAGTTCATATTAAAAATAATTCCAAAATTTTGTACCCAGTTAAACATTGCTAAATAAATTGGAAGCATTTCCTTCTAACTAAAAGAAGTAACTTTAGATACTTCCTAAATAAATAATTTATTCATTTCAGTTCAAAGTGTCATATGTTTTTACTTAATCTGCTTAAAATGTACTTATCTCCTCTTATATAACTCCCTAATTCAATATACTTATATGATTTATTTTAAAATTAAATTATTAGATTTAAAATATATCTTGATATATTAGATAAAAGTCATGCCTGATCAAATAAAAATAATAAATAGAGTACTATACATAGGTGTGTGCATTTAGATCAAATACGAAAATTTTGATTTTCAAATCGAAGGAATTACGATTCAAATCCAATTCTTATAAGTTAGATTGCATGGAGTATTTTAAGTTTATTTTTGAATGAATTGATTTAGATATTTTAGATTTTCAATCCTGATTTTTGAATCTTTATGATAGATCTTGCATTTAACAACTTCAATTCACCTAATTATTTGATCCTTAGAATATATAACATTTTACATTTAACAAGTACTGAAGACACCCTATCAGTCATGCTATGTAATTTTTTATTAGAACCTCTGAAAATTGGAGTTTATTAATATTGAACACATATGACAGGTAGGAATACATATAAGGTGTAAAAATATCAGATTTCCAGACTTTAAAAATTTACAGTACTACTTTCAAAATCCAATTTTCTTTTTTAAAAAATATCACATGTTCGATTCATAATTCAGAAAATCGAGATCAAATATATTAAAAATTCAAACTTTGGAATGGTCCAAAGTATGACCATTAATAATTTCACCATCCGCTTTTAATTGTCATGATTTATATTTTTATAATTAAATTATAATAATTTTGATCAACATTTTAAGATATATTTTTTTATCATCAAAAAGTAACAATTTATAATACTTTTCATATACTTTTTGAATATTCAATTTTTTTGTTTAAAATATCAAACTAATTTAATTTTAAAAATTAGTAAAATTGATTGTTGAAAAACGCAATATAACAAAAAAAAATGGACGGAAGAAGTAATATTTTCTCCTTTATAAAAAGAAGGATCCTAATTTTTTTTAGTCTGTTTCAAAAAGAATGACTCTTTTTATTTAACACTTTAATCTTAATTTTTCACGTGACATGTTTAAAACCACAAGATTGAAGAGCATTTTAGTACATTTGATATAACTTTAATTTAAAATCACAAAATTAAAAAATATTTTTTTTTAACTTTATTCTAAATTAAATTAAGTCATTCTTTTTAAAATAGAAGAGCGTAAAATTTCAGATCGGATAGCAACGTTGATTGCTAATATGAAAAGCATTAATTAATATTGGGAAGATTTCAATGTAATTTATATTTAAAGTATTTGACCAGCTTTTTATGTGAATTCACATTTTATAAGTACTGCCCAATCACTACACACATGATTATATAAAGTGGGAATCAAGGATTCAACGCTTTTTTTTTTCTAATCACGAAATTTAATTCTATCCATTTCAATTCATTTTTCTTATACTCCTTGGATTCATAATTACTTAGTCTATTTTTAAATTAATATATATATATATATATATATATATATATATATATTAGAAAAATAATTATTAATATGGTAAATTATCATTTTATTTTTTTAATTATAAAATAAATAAATTAAAATTTTGATATTTTAAAAAAATATCTACCTTCTTCATAGTAATTAATTGAGGGTATAATAAAATTTTTTAAAATCATTTCTTGATTTGTTAAAATGAACAAGTAATTAGAGATAACTATAAAAGAAAAAATAGACAAGTAAATAGAGACATAGAGAGCATTAACTTGACACTAGTGATAAAATGAACTTTTCTTTTAAGGATATTCAAAATTTAATATATGCATATAACAATTTTTTTTTATATGTCGTGTATAATTTTGAATAAATTATATTCAATTGATCACCCTTTATTACATATTGTTACATAACTCTATTTGAGACGTAGTTTAAAAAAAGAATAAACCTTTATAATTTAATAATCTTCAATTAAAAATATATAAAACTTCCAAAATATCTATTAATCATTTGATTCTAAAAAATTACTCCATACATTTGCTTTAGTCAGAGTTGAATGGTAGGAGCAGAAAAATCCCTACATCTTGAAAACACCCGGAGGGATTTCACTCACTTCCAAATTTAATGCAAAATGGAGTTGTGCATTCGAAATGTTACGTGTGTTCTGACATACAATATGAAATAATCTAAATTATTAAAAATATTTAAAAATAATAAATATAAAATTTGGCTCATAAATATATATTATATAAAAAAAACCTATTATTCTTTTTTCCAAAAGGTGATCATTTTCGTGAAGAGAATATTCGTGCCAAGTGAAAAAATTGTTTACAGGATAATTAATTGTCACAATCGTTGACTAGTGGATCTTATGACCTTACATGTATTTGAAACTTTGTAATTATAAATATTTATTTATATAGAAAAATAGCATTGAAATATGTGATTTATCATCAATGCACCACCTTAAAAGATACTGATATCTTGTTTATGAACTTTCATTTGTTCATTTGATAAGATATAAATTACCTCATACTCATCCCAATATCCCTCTATCTACTCCATGTGAGGATAAACAGTTGTTTAGTTTTTATATGATGTAATGACCTAATTCGTCATTACTTGAGAAGTGCGCTGAAAAATTGGGATTTTCTTTTAGAAAACTGAGACTCTTTGAAATTGTTATTGACTATCAAGTTAGCTCCCTTCACAATAGCGAATATGTCTTGCTATAGCAGATACCTTCTCTATAGCAAAGATTCGATAAAAAATAATTTATCTTCTACTTTTATATGAGATTTTGAGGGTACTATTCTATCTTCATTGGGACTTCTTCTAAGGATGTTCTAGCAACGGGGAGCCGAAGCACACTATTCAGGTTCTAGAGGATATGTTGCGGGCCTGTGCTCTGGATTTTTGGATGTGAGACCAGTTTTTGGGTTTGGTAAATTTCACATATAACAAGAACTAAAATTCTAATATTCAGATGGTCTTATTCGAGGCCTTATATAATAGACGTTGTTTCTCTCCAATTGGTTTGGTGATCGGGTGTTTCTCCAAGTGTCGCGGGCGTGATGAGATTTGGGAGACGGGACAAACTTAGCCCTAGCTATATGGGGCCATTTGAGATTCTAAAGACTATTTGTGATGTCGCTTATGAGTAAGCCTTACCTTCTGCATTTTCAGTTATTTTCACCCGATTTTCCATGTTTCTATGCTACGACGATATGTTCCTGATGAGTGTTATGTGCTATGGTATAATTTAGTTGAGTTGGATGACCGTTTAACCTTCATTAAAGAGTGTGTTGCTATTTTAGACAAAGATTTGTGGGGTTACATTCGAGAGTCATTATGTGGTTAAGGTTCATTGGAGGTATCGTCCAGTCGAAGAGGCTACCTAGGAGACTGAGCACGAGATTCGATAATAGTTTCCCCACTTGTTTGAGCCTTCAAGTACTCTAGGCTCTTAATTTTGCGGATGAAAGTCCTTTTTAGTTGTGGATGTCGTAATGACCATCCAGGACTTTTTTGTGTTATTTCTTTCTTGTTGTCATTTAGAGCCTTCCTATGGTGACCCACAAGTCATTTATGACTAGTTTGGACAGTTTAGTCACTTGGTTGTTCATTTGAATGCTATGCCAGTTTATGTATTTTGAGACTTTTGAAACTTAAATGGTTGACTGTGGTTAACATTTTGGGAATACAATATCAAAATACAATTATGAGGATTCCGTCATCTCCGAAACATGGAGTTTGGTCTAGAAGGATATTTGATGCAGATCCTGAAGCTTTCGAGTCAATACTGAGCCCCCCATATGAAATTTGGTTTCACATGGAGTTTTGTTGTGGTACTTACTTTTTTTCAAGATGAGCTTGATTAGAACTTTTGACAGCTCCATTGAGTCTAGAATGCTGAATTTAGTGAGATAACATATCTTGTTTGAATCCATGGGGTTCCGGATGAATTTTGAGCACCCTATCAAGGATTATAAACTTGGCCAAAACTAACTGATGTATATCAACTAGTATAAGTCTACCTTTCTTTTCGCATTCCCGGACAACTGGCCATGTTCTAAAAAACCAAGGGAATCAGTTTCCACACTAGCAAGGCCTTCGTCGCATTTGCGAAGGCCTAACGGGTTGCCTTGCACGATAGCGGGAAGGATGCCTCATTCGCAAAGGCCTGTTTATTTGCCTTCTGCGATCGTAGTCCTCCCTCCATTCACGAAGGCTTAGCTGAGTAGACTTTTGCATTCGCAAACACATACGGATGATCGTGGAGAGTACGTTTATCTCATGACCTTAAGTATACAATAGATGTAACATGATGTATAA